CATAAATTCCCTATGATATCTTGTCCAGGCTAAACATTTGCTCACTTATGTATACACTGGATACAGAAAATTATTCTTTTGACAACATTACAACAGATTTAACCCAGTGCCCTGCTTATCTAGCAATGACATGTATTAGCTTCATTGTACTGGGAGGCACATTTACATTTCAAATTACAACTCAGCAGCTAGCATGATTTTTTTGTTAGCAGCTCTATTAGTATAGAATTCATTATAGTGGGTTGTTTTGCTTTGGAAAAACTTTTAATTTTCACAGAAATTCATTTTAATATTATAGAAATATTAACTTGCATGTTCATTATTTCTTTAGCTGTGTTTTAGTCCTTTTGTTCTTCAAGCCCCTAGGGGTCAAGCTCTGTAAAGTCTGTTTGGCAATCAAACACCGTCCCTCCCTAACCCTGTTTTCCCTCTTTCTCCACACACATACACACACACACCTCTCTTGCCCTCTTTCTCTTCCCTTGGTCCTTTCTCTGCCTCATCGTCTCCCCTGTCTCCTTCTGTCCGACCGGCCCTCTCAGCGCGGCTATAGAGTCCTAACTTGTCTACATTTACCCCCTGCATGGGCTGACCAATGGGGCCATGGCATGAAGAGTCCCTCCTTTATCACTCCGTCATTCTCCCCTGAGTCAGCTCATGCTCTGTTTTCACGACCTTTGAGCCCAGGCCATGGCAACAGTGGCAGGAATGTCAGGAGTGATTGGCAGGATAAAGAGTGCAGCCCCTCTTTTCTGCACAAACGGATTTGAGACACTTTGAGGAACGAACAATGGTGGATTTGGGCCTGATTGGATCACTGATGAGCTGATGACTGTCAAAAGAGCACGTCGTCTTTACATAAGCCCGATTATCTCTGCATGGTGGAGGAGCGAAGAAGAGTAAGAGGAGTAACCGCTGTGTCTGTGTGTTGGTGGGGGGGCGGCTAGCAGGGAGTTCACCCCCATGCAGAGCGCCTCTAAAGGGGATCGATGCGCACACGAGGACCAGGCTACAGGGTCTGCATTTCTCTCATCCACTGGGGGCCTTTAACAAATCTATTCAGGCAACCAGGGCCCTCATACATGTGGCCATAATCACAGGAGGATGGCTAAAGGGTGGGAGTATGAGGGGGATGACACATGGAGGCAATCATTGTTCAATCCCTGTCCGTCCCATCAAGACGACAGAAGAGCAGAGAGAAAAAGAACAAGGGAAGGATATATAGAGAGAATGAAATGGTGAGAGAAAAGAGCAGTGGGACAGGCAAATCAAAGACAAATCCCTTCTATAATCTGTCTTTAATAGGGATTAGACCTCACCAAAGAGTCTGTATGAGAATACCAAAGCACCAATGAAGACTCTATTCACACTGAGAGTTTGAGGGGATGATACGACTCTATAAACTCCACAAAAAAGAGGAGTATTAGCAGTAGTTGTTTTCCTCACTTATGGCTTTTTGCAGTGTGTACCAGTTCTATTTTTGAGAAGTTCTGGGGCAGGTTGGATGACAAACAACCAACATGAAGCCAAAAGTTGAAACTCTGAAGACGTTTTTGACAGCACCCGCCAGAAAACACGACTCATATTTTGGATCTGCTAACGTTAACCGGTCTTTTCAGAACAAACCTTGTTTTGGACACCCTGTCTAATTGATTAAACAGTCATTTGATGTGATTTCAGCCCCATCATGCTAAGCTTGTTGATTTACAACTTCGAAACAATAACATATTGTTGGGGTTTTGGAAAAACAGTAGCATGATCTGGCTGGGATGCAGTGGAGAAAAAATTATAGTGTGTATAAGACAAAGAGCATCGGATATTCTCCTCCACAGTGCTGATGGCAGTCTGTCAGAGCTGGCAGAGGAAGTGAAGATGGCCTCAAGTGTCTGGCTTCCTGCCATGCTGTTCTCACATCAATGATAGCTTTCACTGAATCATCTCTTGCTCTCTCTCATTTGCTCTCTTTAGACTCGGGTTTGCTCTTTCTAACTTTTCTGACACTTGGATGAATGAATTAGCAAAGCCAGACTCTGGACTGAGAAACATCTGCAGTGCCTGAACACACCACCAAGGTCACATTTCTAGAAATGCACTTTTTGTGTTTTTGCAAAAAGATTGGCGCTGCTCTCTTGTGTTTACACTGACGCAGCCACCAGCAGCCTGTTAGCTTGATTTAGCACAAAGGCTGGAAATAACTGGAAACAACTAGGCTGGCTCTCTCCAAAGGTAACAAAATGTACCTGCCAGCACTTCAAACACTCACTTATTAGCATGTTCTATTTTTTATTTTATTTTATTTATTTTTTGCTTAATCTATACAAAACCAAAATTTTAGAAAGGACATATTTTGATGTTTTAGAGGCAATGTTTGCCACCAACGCTGAGCAAGGCAGCAAATACACCTCATTCCCAAAATGTCAAACTATTGTGTTAAAGTTGTTCCCAGACAAAAGGATACATTTTGTGCATGTCAGTGAAAAGGTGTGTGTTACTCATGCATTAACATAGTGGTAAATAGAGAGTAAGATTTCCATCTGATGATTAACATAAGCTAATTTTAGCAATAAAAACTAATCATGTAAGTTCCTTTTTTTCACTTTTGATTAGGTTTGCCATGACAGCCACCTGTCTTTTAGGTGTACATTCACACTAGGATAATTTCATTTTTAACATAAGCAAATAGCCAACTATTCATAAAAAATCTATTTCTCTTTCCGAAAACTACTAATAAATGCCTCATTAGGTTGATACTGCAACCTGTGATGTTGGCAGTATATATAGTATTTAGGTCATATTTTGCTTGGAAATGGGCAGCTTATGTTATGTCCAATGTTTTTTTTTTAATTAGTTAATAAATGTTGATGTATAATGTGACCAAATGTTGAGCCTCTGCAGCCTGTTTAAAGAGGAACACATTCTGTAAAGTATAACAGATGCACCATCATGGTGTATTATAGGTCTTGTGATAATGATTACATATGTTTTGATTCTACATTAAGATACAAATTAGTTTCTGGCATGATAAATACCACTTGCACTAATTTGACAAAATTGGCCATACAGTAAAGCAGGTACATATGAAGACTGACTTAGGAGTAGTTGGCAGTGCATTATATTTTGGTAATTTGAAGTAAACAGAGATATGGATAGAATTAATCAGTCATAATGTCCCATGAAAATCACAGACCTCTAAATCATCAGTGTTTCATGAGGAGACAGCCCTGATTTTAACTTATTTTTCCAATAATCCACTGGCTTTTAAAGTGATTTATTTCCTGCATCTTGCTTTCTTAATCCATAAACAAACATGCAACCCATCAATTTATCTGAAAAATTCTAAATCACCAATTTCAGAGCTACATGCATTCCACTAGGCAGAAACAGTATGAACCCTGAGCTAGATAAATAACATTATTAGGCTGTTGTTGGGGAATTAATTTCAGCTGGAACACACAGTGATCAGCATGTAAAACAGACCCAACAGAAAAAGATAGTGTATTTTCTAGTGTGTAGGGTTCAGACACAGTGACTCTCATACTGCTCTACTTTTCCTGAGAGTGAGGTGGCAGCATCGAGTCACATGTCCAGGTCAGTAAACCTGATGGCTCTGATTTCATATCTGAGTGCCTGATGCCTGATACAGTTCTTCTTCCCGGTCTAGCTCTCATCTGCATTAGTTTCCATTCTGTCGCACAGTTTAGCAACAATAAATATACCACTTCAATTTGGTTGCCAGTTGTTGTCATTAAGCAATCAGTAGCTCTTCAACCACGGTGCCACATGCTGATCTGGAGCATCTTTATATATAATCTTATCTGACCTGATATTTGACCAAATTTTAACAATTTCAGTAAATGCTGAATATCTGTAGAATTGAACAACACTTGATCACCTCAACAACCATTTTACTGAAAGGCCATGGTCACTTGACTATCAGCATTGGATTATCAAAATAAAATGTGACTTATAAGAGTTTTAAATGGTTAGCAAAGTCCAAACAACTTTACAATTTTATATTTGCTAGTAGTTTGAGATTTTGTTTGCTTACGAGCTTTCTGGGCCCCTTGAGAGGCTAGAAGGCCCCAAATTATGTACCATGCATGATCTGGTGCTAACCCAATGGACCATAGCTTTGAGAAACACTCACTATTAACAACCCTAAGACCCCCCACCATCATTTCTCCATCTCTCTCTACCCTCTCTGTCTTTGGGCCTTTGAACGTCAAGGATGGCTCAAAGTGATACGTAACCCCCACTCCTCTTCTCCCCTCCCATCCACCTCCCCCTGTGCTGTGGCCCCCATACTGGCTGCTGGCCTTTCCTGCCATCTGATCCATATTTCAGTGGTGGCACTGAGGGGGTATAATCCAATATTAAAGCAAGGAGGCCTGTGCTAAAAGCACAGGCACAGGTTCATAAGGTCCTGGAAATCTTCTATTTCAGTTTCTGCAACATTTGCAGGGGCTTCCCAGGTGCTGGCATGAGTCTCTGAGTTTTAGACAGAGCGCAGATTTCAATCAGGGTGAGACTTCGCTTTCAAAAGAGGGCTGACACGGCAAGGTTTAGTTGGCATGGACAGCGTGGAACTAGACACAGGAATGAAAGGGTCAATAAAAGGGTAAGGATCCTGTAGTTATCATAAAACAACCGCAAATCAGTATTTTTATATGTATATTCGTATAAATGTGTCATTTCCCTTTAACTTACCTACTTTACTGTGACTTCACCCTGAGTTTCTTATAGGGAAATTGCTAAAAACATAATTTCTCTGTTAAGATTAATTATAACATTCTCATTAAATTGTAAAACTCAACTTTGACGATAAAATAATATATTGAAAATTAAAATGATAAAAATCTTGACCAACCTTAAAAAGGGGAAAAAATCTGTCACCTCCCTGATATTTCATGACTTTGTTGATAACTTTTTACAGAATGTGAACAATTTGTAATTAGATAGAGAAAACATCCTCAATGACTATAATAACATTTATTTAGTTTCCAAAAAATATATTCTTTAAAGACAAATTCATATCCTGTATTTACAATTTTCAAAGGTTCCATTCACAACAGAAGAGGTGAAGAAAAACATAAGACATAACAGAAAGTTACAAGCAAATCTGTGACAAAAACAACCATCTGGTGTGTATGTATACGCTAAACAGTAATACTACGACAGGTTTCCCCATCAAAAAATAGCCTTCATTAAACTGCTCTCCATTAAATAAAATTATTCCTCTTCTTTTTTTGCTCTGTCTTCTCATAATGTTGTTGTCAGGACTCGCTGTGCAGCAGTTGCATGGTGAGGTCTGAGGAAAAACAAGAAATACAATTTTATAATGCAAAAACAACAGTATTATCAGAAATGTTCATGCTTCTCCTTTAATAAAACTCGTCTTGATTGAAGCACATTTTAAAATAATTAACCAATTTTAATTCAGTGGTTTTGTTTTCATCTAAAACACGTTCAACTCTATTTATGCTAATGTAAAATAAACTAAACTCTAGTTAAATTGTTTTGTGTCGTTTCACCCTCTGCTACATTCGAGATGTTGCTATCAGCGTTTTATTTGACACACATTAGCTTCTTTCACTGGGGGGGCGTGAATAAATAGATTATTTAAATTACAGAGATGTCGATAACTGCTACTTTTGGGGCGGAGTGTGGGGGGTGGGGGGTATCAGACTGACGAGGCGTTAAAGTGGGGACTCAATCACATGATTTATGTGCTGAGCTCTGCCTTTTGCCCAGTCAGTTGTAACTGTGTTTACCTCTGCTTTAAGGGTTATTTAGCAACAGACGTGGAAACAGACGGAAGATGATGTTGTCATAAAGCCAAACTGATTTCACACGCACGTTACCTCTCAGTGATCAACTGGAACGGGGACTTTAGGGAATCAAGCCTGTGGTCGCTCTCATCCTCTGTAAAGAAAAAAACAAATGTAAGGTCAAATAAATAACACTTTATTGATTCAAATGATTTTTACAATTTCAGTTGCAAAATATACTGCGGGAAACAATAGTATTGTTGGTTTAGTTCTTGTTGTCGAACGCGTGAAAATAACTCTACTCAAGTGTATTTAGTAAACAAATTAAAAGGTTGGTCAATCAAATGGGACTCATACCATCTCTTTTTGGGCTGAAGCTTCCTGACGACTCTACATCACTGTCATCCTCCGTCCCCGAAGCTCCTGGGGCCACTGCTGTCGACCGTGCGTCATCACGCGCAGCCGGCACTGCGCCGTGGAGAGACAGGTGTCCGGTCGGCGCTCCTCCAAGAAGTGATCTCATGTTCAAAAGAGAGTTGGCGTTCAGAAAAGCAGCATTGGCCCAGTTGTGCAGCTTGCCAATTTGGCATGTATATATCCCATGACCCGGGAGTAAGGCCGGGTGGCTGGCGGAGGCCAAAGCCGCGTGATGCGCATGGGCCGGAGTGGAAGGTTTATGAGAGCTGTCGGGTGCTGTAGCGGTCTCAGCCAGGGACCAGATTTTGGGTTTGCTCTGCAGTGGTCTCTGGCACTCCTGTCTGCTGGGTGAATGATCCACTGCGAGTTTGACAACGGGCGATTTATTGAGAGAAATGGCCGCCTCCACGCCTCTGAGGCCCTCCACAGAAAGAGTCCTGCTTTCCGAGCTATTCGGCTCCGAGGCCTGTTCTCTGGCGGGCAGGTCTGACTCTGCCTCTCCCTTCGCGGAGCCCTGCTCCCCTGCTCGCTGCTCCTCGGGTCTCTCAATATCGACAGTTTCCAAATCAATTTCCTCCTCTTCGTCTTCGTCGTCGCTGCCGTTCTTTGCATGCTCGTCCTCATTATCGCTGCTGAAGATGCGTCCGTCCCGATCCTCGGCGCTGCGGCCCCAAGTTACCTTGTTCTCCTTCTTCAGGCGTCTGCGGGCGTTTGCAAACCACGTTGAGACCTGGAAATGAAAATGCAGTTTTTACATATTAATAATTAGACACCAAAAACTGTGACAATCAAATTAGAAGGTATGTAAACAAGTGTCATTATTCTTCACCCCGTTTCCATAATTCGTTATCACCACAGAAAGTGTTTTGGGATAAGACATCTCTGGAGACTTTTCTCTTTCGCGGTGGAAGGCTGGCTTTATTCAAATAGGCCTACCAGTCACACAAGTGACAAGTAATAAGTAATTGAATAAAGTATTGCTCCCAGTGGAGGTGATAAGTTTAGACAACCTTTACAAACAACCAACTGGTAATTGATTGTCCCCCTTTATGGAGTCTGCTGGCCATCAAATGGTGCTGTAATGTGCGCTTGAGTTGGCGGTGTACGTCATAACAAACAGCCACTAACAAGTAGCACTGGACTATTTATTTTCCCCAGTGTTTACTGTCACACCCCAACAGAGACATTACACACTGCTCACCTGTGTGAGTGTCATCCTGGTTATAATAGCCAGCATTATCTTCTCTCCTTTAGTCGGGTAGGGATTCTTCTGGTGCTCCTGCAGCCAGGCCTTCAGGGTGCTGGTGGTCTCCCGGGTGGCGGTTTTGGCCCTCGACGGGTCCCCGTACGGATACTGGCCGTACGGGTAGAAGCCTTGAGCGGCGTGGACAGGCAGGGAGGCTGGGTGGGACCCTGGGCTGTCCTTCAACTCATACTGGGAACTCTGAAATTTTATCGGGAAAAGAGTGGACAACTTGTTGAGCGATTTATCTTGAAAAGCATTTCCTCCTCTAGTTCAGAGAACTGTACAAAACAACATCTGAGTCTGTGCTGCAAAAAAGTTTCAGCAGCCTAAATAGACATATTAAAATAGCGTGTAGCAATTATTTTATTTGCTAAGCCTTTCTGTATTATACTTCAATATTTGTACGTTTGTTTCAATGTAACAAACAATAAGGAACACAGCTACTTTCTAAATAGTTCCTAAACATTTAGGAACATTTATTCTTCCTACATAATTAATTATTAATAGTGTTTTGCTCAATAATGAACGTTGTTTCTTCTAAAACACAGGTATGTTTGAATTACCAGTGATTTTTGCTTGAGATTTCTATAATGTACAGAAAAAACAGACGGAACCTGTCATTATAGTTTAGCCTTAAGCCTTAAAAGTTGATGGATTTCTCCGATGTAAAATCGCACAGCACGGTACACCCCCGAGGCTATTCGTCATCCACACATGAAGCTAATAAAATGGTAACCGACAGTCGGTGGTTTGCGCTAAACAAAAAGTTCATTAACGACAGTAAACATCTTGATCACTTTGAGCCGTGACCTGAGCCACTGAACAAATGCCAACTCTCACCATCTGGGAGATGAGGGTGAGGTCTGTGGCTCCGCTGTACGGCAGAAAGGCACTGTAGTTATGAGCCGGACGAGCTCAAGCCGCCCTCGGTTCCTCCTTCCCGTGCAGAGGCCGGCCGCTCACCCCCGTATACCTCGTGAGGGGCACTGAGGAACTGGGGGTACCCCAGCTGAGGGAAAGACATGTCCGGAGAGCGCGCACAGTAAATCTCACCCAAACCGCAAGAGGACGGAGGGAAAAAAGTAAAAGTAGATATCCCCAGAAATAATAAGAGGCTGAAGGGGGTGTCTAAATCACCAGAGTGCCCCCCTTTTAGAAACCGTAAAGCTTCCCCACTTCTCCGCCGACCCGGAGTTGTGTCAGAGCAGGAGTTTGGCACCTCTAGTGAGGAGTGACGCGTGTGTCTGGCCGCCGGAGCTTCTGGATGTGGAGCTGACTGACTGATTGGCAGCCTACTTAAGCACCAAGCTCCTCCTATGCCCGGGGGAGGAGTGCATTGGTTAGCGTAGGTCGTTTGTGTGTGTGTGTGTGTGTGTGTGTGTGTGTGTGTGTGTGTGTGGGCTATGTCATCTAATTTCTGCAGTCGCTTCTCTGTCTGTATTGAAAAGGAAACCAGTGAAGTGCGTACATGTGTGTGGACTGTAAATTCGCCTTTTTGTGGTGAATTTCCCCACTGTGGAAACAATAATGTATGTAGGTCTTTGGTTTTTCTTACCATTGCTAACTCTGAGAGACGAGACAGTTCAAGTAACTTCAAAACAGTGCTGATTTATTCAAAGGATCACAGGTAAAATTAACATTACACGCTCAGGTATCTTCCACCTCCAAACTGCACACAGGCAGATGTAAGATGAAAGACCCTGAACCCACCAGGCCTATACATTATATCACCTCGGTTGGGCTAGCCCCATACTACACAGAAACGTCAACCGAGACGTCTCTGTTACCAGCTTTGCAGCTGGTCATAGCAGTAGTCAAAACATGAAGCAAATCAATGTGTGTGTGTCTGTTGATTAAGTGGTGTGTAACTAAAAACATTCTCACAGACTTCTAGTAACATGTCGTGATATTAAACATAAGAACATATTATGGCTAAGGCTACAGTTATACACGTCATAATAATAATATTAAACACCCTGTCTGCTGACAGTCATCAACTCTTCTCTCTAGTTATCCTTGACCAGATGTACCCTGTAGAAACTCATAAGCATGACTAAGCATTTAACAGTCTAACTAGACATCCTATCTCCACTAAACATTTCTAATACATAAAGTATCTATCCAATTTCTATCTGACTAAAAATACCTAACAGGTACCTACTCTTAACAACAACAGCTACTAAATGTACCACGCCACTGTCTGTAGGCTACAGTAAAACATGAGCACAATGTTAGGTTAACAATATTATAATAAGAGGAGCCTATAGGAAATTAATATGTGAAAATGCCCAACAATAACAGTAGCTACAATTTAAATTCATATCCCTCTGGCTTATGTTAAATGTAATTTTCTGTCTATTCTTTGATGAATTATTCGCAGGGTATGTAGGCACATTGTGGCATCGATATGGTCGGCCAGGTCCGAGAGGAATGCCCGTGATTATCGATGGAAGTCAGCGGAGCATATTTTCACAGTGAAGATGAAGGATACCTGAGGTAATGACAGAGATCGACCAGGATAAGAGATCAGCAGAGGAATGGAGGCCACAGGAGCCGTGGAGTGGAAAGTGACAGATGTTTGGTGAGAAGAACGAACTATTGTACTCTGGTGGGCCTACACATCATTTATATATCCAATATCAGATACAAGAAAATCAAACCTGTTCAGGTGGTAAAACTGTAAATGCAGGATGCAGACGTTTCTACACTGACATGCTTAAAACTGTCAAAACAGTAAGTGTGCTTCAGTATGTTCCCCTAAACACACACGCACACACACTATCTCACATGCACACAGACCGTCTCACACACCCTGACACCACATGTGCACACGTACACACATTCGAGTGGCGCTAATGAGGTTGAGCGCCCTGCGCCCTGCTCAGTGGCCCCATGGCCCTCCCAGATTCCCTTAGAGGTTCGCTGTGTAATTGCTCCATCCCTATAAATACAGATTCATCATTTCACACTGGAGCCCCTGATGAGCTTGGATGAGCTCAGAGAGGGAGAGAGGAAAGGAAGGGGTGAGAAGGGGGGTGGTGTCTAATGATTTAATTACAGTGCTTAAAGCCCACTCTGGCTAAGTGATGGTCCTCTGTCTCGGTTCTCTTCCCTCCTCAGCGCTGGCACCTACAGGGCTTTACTCATGAATCTCAAAGCTGTTTTCCTAAACACATATTATGACGAGCACACCGCCGCCACCACTGCTGCTGCTGCCACTGCGTGTGTGTATGAGTGTGAGAAACAGAGAGGGAGAGCGAGAGAGAGCGAGAGAGATGATGCTTAATCTCCATGGCATTTTAAATGGCATTCATGGAGAGCGGCTCTATCCTCATTGCCAAGGTAAATGGAGCCAAGGGACTCTCCATTTCAGCACGATAAAAGAGCAATGTTAAAGAGTCTCACAATTTCCCTCACTTTCTCCATCCCCGTCTCTCTTTCTCCCCCCTCCTCGTCTCGTTTCTCACTTAAAATTAATGTTTTTCTCATGACAGGGGAGGGAAACGAGACATATCCACCATCTAATAGGATAATATAGCCCCATTTACCACCACCGCCACTACCCCTCCCTCCTCTCTCTCTCTCTCTCTCTCTCTCTCTCCCACCCTCTCTCTCTGCCTTTGTAGCTGCCTGATTTCCATAGTGTCTCTGTGGAGAGGCAGTTAATGAATTCCTCTGAGCTGGAGAAAGGGGGAGAATGGTTTGGCGGTTTAGAGAGAGAAAGAGAGAGGGGATAGGGGGAGGAAAGCTTTGAGCTATGCCATTCAACTTCACAGCCTGCTTGTGCATTCACTGCATGCATGTGTGCTGTGCCTGTGAGTGTGTGTCTTTTAACATGAACCTGCTAAGACTACCAAATATTTAGACTGGCCCGGACCTCTTTTTATGGCGACTGTGGACTGCGAGATCTCAGGAGGCAGCTTGACTCTATTTGAATCCAATTCGCTGCTATTAGCTCAGTCCAGACAAAGGAATAACTTACCGCAGGAAACATTCAAATAAAGTCCCACAATCCACTCGAACTGGTCATTTCCTCCTGGGTAATTTGCAGCGATGTAAATTAAGACACCATGAAGCATCATAAAGCAGATTTTTTGTGTTTGCTAACAATTCAACAAAGGAGAGATGATAGGAGCAATGCAATAATACTTTAAATAAATGTCTTATTTAGCATTCATAGATGCTACTGGCAAGACCATCGGTCCTGCTGTGTGTAGTAACAGTGATCGAAGAGTTAAAACAAAATAATCAGTTACAATGTTCCTGTAGCAGTGTTGGGCAGGAACGTAAAACTTGAAATCAGTTCAGTCTTTCTGTGTTTCATTGTACAGACAGTGAAAAAGCCTTGACCTCTGTGGAAGTGCTGGAGGCACGGGTAGATGTTCAGCCTTTACCCAAAAGACAATGACAAGTGACTCCTAGGTTTTCTAGCTGTATCCAAAATCACTCCATATTTACTATAGAGTGAACTACAGTGATTGTCCACCACTGTATTTGGGAGGCCAGAATCTGAGTGTACAGGTTTTTCATAGAGCTTTGAAACATCCTACATTGGAACAAAAGGTAGTGTCCATAGCATTTAGTTTACAGCTAACAATCCCATAATGCAATGTGTTGCATGTTATAGACATGCAAATTACACAAGTCAGTTATACAAAATGTAAACTATAGTGTTCAGACTTTCATTTTACAGCTTATGAATATGTAATCATTTTTCATGCTGCAACTGCTGTGGCCAGAAATGTTTCAGTAATAGTATTATCATATAATCAGTCAAACCTGCTGACTACTAGAGCTAACAAAAAAAAGGTGTCCTCTCAGGGCTCATCATAATAAAACTAGGCAGTAGCATGGTGCCCTCTGAAAATAACATAGTTACAGTAATGACAGGAATTAATGCATAAAGGAGGGAGTGATTTTGAACACAGCCTAATTCATGTTTTGTGCCTCATTAACTTGCTATGCCACATTCAAACTTTACGGCCCTTTCTATGAAAAAATGCAACCCTTCTTATCCATCTGAATGGGGAGAGTGTGTTGTGAACTGGGGACTGGCACACGGGGCCCTGTGCCAAAACAATCCAGGGCTGTGTGAATAAGAATTTAGACATGGTTCAACTTTTTCTGCAACACAACGTGACATCTTCCATGCAGGGTGATGTGTTGGTTATTATGCAAGCACGCATTCCTGTGGATTACTTTGTAACTTGAGCCCCACTTTTTATCCCTAGATTGTCACAACTAAAGATAAAACAGTTACTACCATGTTAAATCTTTTCTGTGAGTATTACAGCTCAGTGTGCTGTGTTTTGGTGTTTAATAAGCTTTAAACAACAACACAACTCCATCAAGGCAGCTCCCTCCTGTCTATCTCCAGGAATTACTCGATTTAATCTAGAGTTGGAGGTGTGAACCCCACAAGTTCACTCTGAGTAGTGTCTGAAGTGTTTTTGCATGCAGCCACTGGGAATAGTGTTAAGATAGCTGTTGAATTCATTGTGTTTCTACATGTACATGTGAGAACAAATGGTTTGGTGCTGTTTAAAGAGACCTTTGGTGGAGCTGTGCTTCATAACAAAACAAAAGTAATGTATCTAATTACTTTTGCTTTTGAGTAATTGACAGTTAATTCTGTTTCTGTTTTCAATGAACATTTTTCTTGAACTGAATATAAAATCTTGACAATAATGTGAAATAGTAGCACCTGTTCTTTTTGGTTTTAGTATTTTCCTGAAACAAATGTTCATTTCCCAAAAAACAACAGAGCAAGTCCGACCACTCCGAGGCTGCCAAAAAAGAGATGGCACGCTTTGCAAACAAGCAAAATTACCTCCCAAATTACTGTCCCATTTCTTCACCCTGACTATTATTTTGTATCAATTGTTTTCCACAGGCTTTCACAGGATGTCGAGATTGTGGAGAGAACTGGGGTGGGGTGGGGGTGGGACAAGCAGCATAGAGATAAAGAAAAAGTGTCCTCACCTCCTTGACAGCAAAGATAAGGAGTGATAGATTCAGCTGTGACCTAATGTTAAATTAGATGGATCACTTTGACGCGTAACAGATAAGCCTGCCAGCCTGAGGTAATACATTCAGCTTAGCCAAAATTTTATGATCCCTCACAATGAGCTCGCATTTATTTTATCACTTGGTTACACTTTTTTAATCACTGTGATATCTGATATGCAGCACAGGACATGTCAGTCGTAGTCTTAATGGTTTATATCAGTGCAGCCTGACAGCCACTT